CTGTAGATTCTGTTTACCGTCCACCGCCCGCATGTGCTTGAAACTACTGCAAGAATTTTTCATTATTCTTAATTATTTTCATTATTTGTCATTATTTTAAATTCTACGCATCGAAATTTTCAAATATACATCAAGTCATCAAATCTTCGACATAAAAAACCGTACATCGCTGATGTATGATGGAGTTGTTCAGTATAGTGCATCAGAGTAGTGCATTTGTTCAGTACACTCGGAAATTCGCGAGTCTGACATGTGCAAATTCGAAAACAATGGCGTGACAAAGAAATTTTCAGGAAAGAAAAGCCCAAAAATGATAAAAGAATTCTGGACAAAAGTGTTGATGGTCGAGATCAAAAGAAAACGATTTAAGGGTCATTTTTGGTCGGAAAATACATAATAACAAAAATAATGAAAAATGAATAATGAAAAAAACCCGCACTAGATTTGTTAAATTCTCGGACGGTAAACAGAATCTACAGAGGGCCCCCTATACCTCTTCACAATATGCTTTCACGTAAAAATATTTTGCCTTTTCACGAGTCACGGATTAAGAAAATCATGGATCACGTTTCACGGCTAAGTAAAATAAGCCCTTCACGCAAAATGTATAGGGGGCCTGATCACGTTTCACGGCTAAGTAAAACAAGCCCTTCACGCTTCACGCAAAAAGTATAGGGGGCCCTCTCTACAGTTCCCTTGGCCTAATAGTAAATGTATTAGGACATCCGAAGGGGGTAGGGGGGTTAACTTCCTATTTCCTCCGTGGGGGTGGTATGGATGTTTTCTGGAATAACCCATTAGAATAAAATAATATACTCTATCACAATCTGTGCCATCTATCTACATTGTAAATAGCTTTAATTAATATGAAACTAATGTCTATTTCGTTTTTATGATATGGTTTTTATGTATTTAATAAAACCAAACAACACTCAACACTCAATGACTCAACACTGTATAAACTTTTGTACATAGTTGTTAGTATCAGAATAAAATATTACTACAATTGACTGATTAACGGTACATATACATATAGATACTACGTACCAAAACTTTCAACCTGTTTTAAACAAGTTTTAACAATGAAAAACGCAAACCTTTGCAGTGAATTTTAAGTTGGAAGTGATCGACCCAGCAAAAAATGCAGCCATGTTTTTCTCGACTTAGTCTCTGCTTCGTCCCTCTTTCTATACAAGATCGTAAATACAACATCCCCCTGGAAATTAGGCTAACCAATGTTTTTGCGCATGGTAGGGCAAAATGTTCCGGGGGGAAGATTTGCAAAAAAATTGTATCAAAAAATTTAAAATGGCGTCAATTTTTTTAAAATTTTCCAACTATAAGACCAAATTTATGCGACCTCGCTTGTAGATATGAGAAGAAAATACGCTCATATAAATCTACTAATCTATAAAAAGCTGTTGTGGTTATGTTTAAAAAGTATTTCTACGTCCAATTGGTATTTTTCTACAAGTTTATGGCGACAATGAGTGGGGCTAGTCACTTATCGAAAAATGTCTGTTGGAAAAAAAGCACGCACGTTAAAGTCCTTGCATTAGATTTTGACAAAACATGTACAACCAAAGCTATACTAGACATTTACAGGGCAAGGGAAGACTATCACCACAACAACAAAGATATACTTGACCAAAAATGGGAGAAAGTACAGCAATTTTACAGCTCAACAATGGAGCCCATTTTAAAACCTTTGAAAGACCCGAAACCAATAGCAGCTCGATTTGACGAGGACGGTTTGCGGCGCTTCTTGGCAAGAGTTAGCGTTGGAGATGGCCGAGCAATAGATGAACTTATTTCAACTAAACTACTCGAAGGAATAACGACCAAAGGTCTGTTTGAGTTTGCTCAAAATGTTGAACTTATGCCAGATGTGTTAACTGTATTAGAAAATCTCAAAGACAAGGTTCTTAATCTTCCACTACATGTGATATCACTGAATTTTTCTGAAAAATTAATACACTTTGTCCTAAACAGGCAAGGGACATTGCCAATTGAAATACATACAAATAAACTGGAATTCGAGAATGGCACCGCCAACGGGATTATGGACAAAAAATACGTCTCGGCTTCTGACAAGGAAGTACAGTTGGAAAATATCATTGAAAATGCAGAAAATAGTTCTGGTGTTACTATTTATATCGGTGACTCATTCACAGACTTGCTGGCACTCCTGAAAGCAGACGTTGGTATAATTATAGGAGAAAGTGAAAGCATGTACAAAGTTTGCAATGATTTTGGAATACACGTGGTTCCTTTGAGTGAATGGAGCTATGAAAGGTTTAGCAATGAAGAAAATAAAGTACTGTATTCAGTAAGCACTTGGAATGACATTCAAAAATTTATATTTAGCGGGTTAAAATGCGGAATGTGATGTATGGAGTATTTTAATGAAATTTAAGAGAAAATAGTACAGTACTATTTGTACTATTTACAACATGAGCGGCCGTATTGTATCAGATATACAAACTCGAGCCGAAGGCGAGAGTTTGTATATCCGATACAACACGGACGCGAATGTTGTAAATGGCTTAAAAAACGACTCATCTTATGAGTTCATTGGCGAAGTAATTTTAAAAGTAAACGTTGTCTAAGCCGAGAAAATCAAAGTTGAAGTTTATGTAAATCAACATGAATCTGTATCACATATACAGATACGACACGCTTATGATTTTTCTTTGTGTTTTCTTCATGAATTATTAATGAGTTTTTTAATAATAGAGAGAAATGATTTATTACAATAGCATAATGGAATAAAAATATATTTGTATAACTATATTTGTTAACTTTGCGTCTTGAATACTTGCAAAAATATTTTCGTTACAAAAGCACGCTAGTACTTTATAATCTACAACGTACAAACATATTTTTTTGTTTGGTTAATTATGGTAAATATCACACAAGACTCGAATACGCCAATGGAAATACAGCCAATACTATATAGCCAAAAACAGGATTTTTAGCCGTTTCATTTTTCAACAATCGCGAAACATAGTAAATATAATTAGTTCAGTGGAATGTGTGAATATAATCAGTTCAGTGGCAGTTGACTTTAATTTATATCTGTTATCCTGCATGTTAATACGAGGTATCATTGTGACTTGGAAGTCATGGGCTGTTGAAAATAATCGCAAAACAAGGTACGTTGTTACGAATGGTAGACATGTTTCTCCAGCTTCTTGATGTCCGGTTAGTTCGCGTCTTTAGGGGATACACACTTTGTGTGTACTTGCAGTTGTTATTGAATAACTACTCGCACGCAAAGTGTTACTCTCCTCAACAAAGCTTTCCGATGGCTCCTTTGCGTCCAATTGCATCATTGTGATATACTGATTGGTGGTCGTAATCGCCGCTACCCATGTCTGAGGTTGAAACTGGCGGACGCACGTGTTTTTCACTTTCGAAGATGAGGTAGAGAATGCGGGCAGCGAGAGGGAGAACACTGGAATCTCTGTATGACTGTGGTTCTCGTAGAACTTCAACGTTGCTGGAACTAATTGTCGCATATCATCGTAATTTATCCGAGCGTACGATGTAGCCAATGTTACCAACGATAAAATACAATGTAGTTTCAGCAATTTCTGCAGCTTTTCTGAGGATGAGGCACCTTTTGTGACAAAGTATTCTAGTAGGTCCTTGGTTACGAGCTCCTCTTTGATAAAAAAGTTGATATAGTCGTTCTGTAATTTATGTATACCGATATCAACAATGCCCTGAAGAGCTGCGGCAGGTGTTACCACATTGCTAACCTTCCTGTTGACTTCAGCTCGCTCTTTATCCGTGCTACAACTGATGACTTCTTTCATCAGGATCGCAATTTGGGTCTGGTTATTTGCATACAGCACTGGTTGATATTCTCCTAAGAACAGCTGTTGAAATATCACATCTAAACAGAAAATCATTTGGCCGGTCGAAGGCAACTCCTTCAAGAAAACCCACAGGGATTCAGTATTATCCAAGTCCTGTCTTTTCAGATGTTCTGTGGTATCGAATGAAATTGCAGCTGAAGGTGAAGTGACACTGGGATCCACCTTGTTCGACTGACCCATGCTTTGAAGTCTGAGCTTATCAAGAAACTCAAGAATTGTTTTCTTAAGCTCTGGTTGATCGAATTCTTCGTCTGAACCATTCTGCTCTATTTCACCATCTGATTCTTCTTGAATTTTCTTTTGAAACTTGCCAAAAAGTTCACCTAGCATATTCAATTCATTGGTTATGCCAGGCAAGATTGCTTGGACATCCTCAGGACGGGCAAAGATGTTTAAAACAGCATTACTTGAGGAAGGTGGAGGTTGTAAGATTTCCCGGACACCATCCCATGCAAACTCTATGGAGATACCACTTTGTGGCTCATCTGATTCCCCATCATCGTAACCATCCAGTGTTCCGTAGACGTTATACCTTGCATAACCATGGGTCTCCGATTGGTTAGCCCGATGGAAGTTCATATGTTCCTTCTTTTTATTACTAAGAGAGGAGCCGGCCTTTTTCTCATCATAATCTTCTCTTCGGATCATAACCGTGCTTATTTGCTGTGGCTGCTTCTGATCTTCTGTGATGACTGGCACCACGCCCATGTAATCAACCCCTTGTGGGCTGCCGTGGTCACACAACAACCACATTTCAGGCAAATCTTTCTGTTGCTTGATGCACTGAGCATAGATACAAACCAAGTATCTGGCATCTCTGAGCTCCAGCTTTTGAAGACTGCTGGTGTCCAAGTACTTCTCTGTGACTTCCATGTCACTATTGTGGAAATTCCTTTGCCAGAAGAGATGAGATACTTGATGGGATATTGGTGTGCCAACAAAAACATGTTGTTTTGTGATAACTGCTATTTCTGGCAATGATTTCGGAAGTTCCCCTTCTTCATCATCAGTGCTATCATCACCAGAATGCGTTGGTGTGTCTGGTAGTTTACTTACAAGGAAGAAAGGGCTTTTGACAGAGTCGACAACGTCTTTCAAAGGGTGTTGAAAGTTGGAGGGAATAAGGTGCATAACATAGTGATAGGCGCAGTCAACAATATTCACTGGAATTGAGTCTTTGTCCTCAATGCTTAAAAGATTGTTTAGAACTTTCAGGAGCTCTTTGGCATGTTCCTGCATGTGCTTCAAACTCATTTTTCAAGTGCTACAGAGACAACCTGAAATATAAAGAGGGTTTTAATATGGATCTTTATAGATCAGTTGCCAATAAGAATTTTAAATTGGACAATGTGAGTTCCTGATTCATTTTTTGTCAGTTATAAGTTAGGATGTTTTGTAAGTGTTTCAATAGACTGGCAACATCAGTCCATGAGGCACTTAATCCCAATAAGAACCTCAGAGAAAGCTTTATTCTTGCACATTTCCTTTACATATTGCAGTGTGGATGATAGACCAGTGGTAGGATTTGCAATTTTAGGAAGTCTTGGGACATGATAAACTAGTTACTGAATGCCGTGGGTGCAATCACAGGCGGCCCAATCTCGCAAGGGTCAGTATAGACTTATAGTATAAATGTATATTTTATTATATTAATGTATATTATAGTAAAAATATGTCGTAAAATATAAATTTTAAAATGAAATTGACTTGCCTATTTGATAGTGTGTGTTCTCCTTTTATTCCTCCTTTGTTGGACTAATATTTTCCGAGACTTTGTACTCGATGTTACTGGTATACATGAAACATGATAAAGGCTAACCATTCCCGATCGTCGATCCGACGGCACGGCACTTCGAATCGAAAATTTTCACACTCATATCGCTTTATTCTCCAAAAAAATTCGCCAGCATGTACAACAAATGCCGTTCTTCGAAAATACGGAGGTACTTCGGCGAGATGTACAAGTTTTGGACCATATTTTAACAATGGAAATCAAAACCCATTTTATATTGAACTTGCCCAGGCCGAAAATTACTACGGCGAACGTCTGCGCAACCAGGCCTCCTCTACCGTTGGATTTACAGGGGGGGAAGCAGATATTTCCGGTAACAGCCAGCCAATCGCGGGCGCGATAGCGAATGTTTACATTATTTGAAATTTGATATTCAAAATAAAAACTCCTTCGATCGGATACTGTATAAAACTCGAGATGTTGTCGAAGGAAAGAAAATTAAACGACGGAGATTGAAGAAATTTAAGGAAGAAGTAATATACAGCGGCTCTTTGTTGGAAAGTATGGTAGAATATGATACTTAATTCGAAATATTATCGTGAATATATTAGTGGCATCCTCCCCCCTGTAAATCCAACGGTAGAGGAGGCCTGGTTGCGCAGACGTTCGCCGTAGTAATTTTCGGCCTGGGCAAGTTCAATATAAAATGGGTTTTGATTTCCATTGTTAAAATATGGTCCAAAACTTGTACATCTCGCCGAAGTACCTCCGTATTTTCGAAGAACGGCATTTGTTGTACATGCTGGCGAATTTTTTTGGAGAATAAAGCGATTTGAGTGTGAGAATTTTCGATTTGAAGTGCCGTGCGGTCGTATCGACGATCGGGAATGGTTAGCCTTTATCATGTTTCATGTATACTAGTAACATCGAGTACAAAGTCTCGGAAAATATTAGTCCAACAAAGGAGGAATAAAAGGAGAACACACACTATCAAATAGGCAAGTCAATTTCATTTTAAAATTTATATTTTACGACATATTTTTACTATAATATACATTAATATAATAAAATATACATTTATACTATAAGTCTATACTGACCCTTGCGAGATTGGGCCGCCTGTGGTGCAATGAACATGGCAGTGAGGTGCATATCATTTGCATTTGTGAGCACGATCCACAGAATTCCCGATTTATGAAACCTATAAAACTCCCTCCACCCACTACTAATCCTTCCTGATGCCTAGTGTAGTGATGGATAAATTACTACAGTAGATGCAGCAAACTACAGAGGCTCAGAATAGAGACATACAGAGGGTCAACTCAGCCAAAAAAGAGTAACCACTACCAAGCCATAATTCGCAATGATTCATCATCAAAATGCTGTCGCCATGGTCTTAGCCAGTGCAGTGATGAGAGACATTCACCCATAGAGATTATAAATAACACTAGAGGAGGCATTGTATAAATCTTAATTCAGTAAAAAAAAAGGGAACGCAGCTATTGGGGGGCAAATTTAAGTCCGGGATGTGTATTCATGTTTCCATTGGTGACGAGTTTCAACAAATCAGGCAATCAGAGCACGATTTTATATCCGGGACTTGAATTTGCCTCCCATTAGCTGCGTTCCCAATTTTTAACCTCAATGCCTCCTCTAGTGTTATTTATAATCACTATGCATTCACCCCCCTGAATGTTCACCATTTTGAATATTCTCAGGGGGGTGAATGCCTCTCATAAGCACACAGAATAGAGTCCCATGGTCCTAGCGACGAGTGACAGTCTATTAAATATCACCTATGGGCTCATCTTCAATGAGGGTGGGAAAGGGGGGTATGGGTCACGTTTCACAATGGAAAAAAAGCTGTTTCACGATTCACATGTCTTAAAAAAGCAATTTCACGGAAAACTAGATTCTAATAAAATAATATAATAATAGGTTTATTAAGAGTATGTTTAATGCATGGTATAGTACAGGGCCTCCCCCAGTCCCCCCTTGTGGGATTCAAATTTCAAAATTTTTCTGGGGAAGTACTCCCCCAGACACACCCCCCCCCCCCATTCATGCATGGTATATTGGCCACACACGTGGCCTTCAGCCATTGCTATCCCCTCTAATATATTATCTCACGAAGTGCTTCCCAAACACCCCCGGGAAAATCCTTAAAAAAGGCCCTGGTACAGTATCTACGCTTTAAGTTCTCTCACTTCTCTATCTGTCAGCTGTCAGTTAAAAACTACATCATAACTTACAAGTTTGAGTGATGAGTACGTCCGATATAAACCTCCGAAAGGCCTCCGGAAGTTTTTACTCTTGTGCAATCGAGTGAGATCATATAAATCATTATCGCGTATCATGTCTATTATGGACCATTATGACTATTATAAAATAGATTGAAATAAACAAAGCAAAATCACAATTCATGAAACAGACATCCTTAATTCTCATTTCACGGAGCATTTTTACGGACAATCACGCCTCACGGCTGTAGAACAAATCACATTTCACGACACTAAAATCAAGCATTTCACATTTCACGCGAACATATATTTACCATTCACGGCTCACAAAAATACCCTTTCCCACCCTCTTCAATCTTCATAGTGAATGAAATTCGTGAAACAAGGTTGAAGAATTTTAAAATTTCCTCAACTTAAGACAGAAAACTATATTACCTTTAAATTAATTTGCCCAAACGCGTGAAGAAATAAACAAAATCCACAGAGAAGTATTTACTAAACATTCACCACTGATATTTTTCTCCTTCAAACTTTTCCCGCCAAAACTGAAAGGCGAGTACTCCTGGAAACTAGAGAGCGAATGCTTTCCGAAAAGTTCCGAATTAACCATTGATTAATATTTAAATTCAGCACAAATTTTCAAAATCTTACCACTTAAACAGTACAGAAGCTAATTTAGTTCAAATATAATACACTCAATTTATATATTTATCGTTTTAAGCGTATATATGAAAAATATCCTGCGTAAAATGCTAAAATATTACGAAAATAAAATTGTCCAAAAACTCTGTTGTCATTTTCCGACAACAAACGAGAATGGCCGAAGATATGATTGTCGTAGAAAGCATGCGTAGTACATATTTACATTTTACAAAACAGAATATTCGAGGTGAGTTGTTTATAATTATTTAGTTTATTTTTCACTTTTAACAGCGTGATTACACGAATAAAGGTATGCAAATGGAAGATATTATTCTAACAATTATAGTGTGTATTTTATTTGCAATTATTGAGCATTAAGTTGTGCTTAAAATACTACTTAACTATTAAAGTGTGCAATTCAATAAATGGCCGGTTCTAGCTCATAAATTCTCCAACATCGTCTGTCATGATGTTGTTTCAACTTGCTTGTTCAGTTGTCTTGACAGATGATTCTTTAATAATGTGTGTAAATATAAAGGCATGAGATAAACTATCGGGAAAATATCTGGTTTGATTTGAGAACTGTTACTTTATGGTATAAATCACGCTATTGCAGCTTGATCTGTCGCTAATATATACATCCGGCTGTCATGTATGAATTATGAATATAATTTCCTACTCATATTTGTTTTTCCCCATGTGCTGTGTTTTCTAGACAGCAAGGCATAATGTCTTCACCAGAAAAAGAGAAAAAGTCACCTAGGAAGTCTGTGGATAACGTTGAAGGCCATTTCTTGTTGCCGAGTCCAATTCCAACACGGAGGATACGTACAACTTCCCAGTAAGTTGTATTTTGTTTGGACGTGTGCATTCGGCTATTCTTTTAATATCTGCATTCTGCACAAAATTCGGCTATTCTTTTAATATCTGCATTCTGCACACCCCCGGATTGAGGATATATGTTTCTCGTAGTTATATCCTTGAGGAATTCCAAGCTCGAAACACTTTATACCTCTGAGGAATTCCATGTTTCATGAACCCTAGCCCCTTGCACTGTGCCACAATGTGCTCCACATTGTTATTTTACTCTGTGTAACACCAGACAATTTTACTCGTTAAGAGGAGAGCACTGGTGTTCAACGGTTAAAGGATTAGTGTCAGATTCATGCATTGCGGGCTTTTGTTATTGTTTACATTTTACTCAAATACAGCAAATAGCAATAAAAATACCTTGTTTGGTACATTTCTGATAAAAATCAGACAAAAAGAGCAAGGATTATAAAAGGATGGTTTAAATATACAACAGATTGTAAAAACTTTCCAGATCATCTGATCTATTCATCCCGAAAAATGGCCGCCAGCAGGAGTTTGAGCCTGTGAATTCCTGGTGTGACACTAATCCTGTGTCTTGTTAACCCATTAAGATGCATTGCACCCTAATGTGCCTTATGGTACTTCATTTTATTACTCTGTCTGATGTCAGACAATTTTAGTCTTCAAGGGAAGAGCACTGGCATTCAATGGCTTAGATGGGATAGCCCATAATGGATTGGAAGAGCTGGACTGTTCATTGATGATTAGAATATATACCCAACCTGATATAAGTTACTCTTTTTAAATTTAGATCCAGATTAGCATCAGATTCACCATTACAAACTGGTACATGCAAGAGTTTCTGTCGTCAGCGAGGTCACGGCTTCATTACACCAGACGAAGGGGATGCTAGGGACATATTTGTTCATATTTCAGAGTAAGTTCACCTTGCGGAAAATTTCTTGTCAACATTTTATTTTCAAGCCAGTTAGTCAAGGGGAGATTTGTCAGCAATAGTTCACTGTTTTCTGCTCTGTATTGAAATGGGTATTGATGCTCTACCTTTTATTCTCTAGTATTGAAGGAGAATTTGTTCTGAAAGCTGGAGACAAAGTAACATTCCGTACTGTTCCATTACCTCCGAAATGTGTTGAAAAACAAGCGGTGGAAGTTATAATTACTGCAGCAAATGGACCACACGATACATGGTCGCCACTCTCGCACTCGGCCATGTCGGCACACTGATACTATACTGGAAACCTATCATTGCTCATGCAGGAACACATCGTGTTTTCCATTTGAAAAACTATATAAAAAAAAATGATCAACCCCTCTTTTTTAGGAGGCGTATACTGAACTGTGAGAAGAAATAACATTTTGAACTTTATGACATTGATATTAATTGATCAAAACTAATTGATTCTTTGAACCAAATGAACACAAGTTGCAAACTAATGTTGAGTTTATATTAGCTTCACATTGAAAGGCAACAACAAACAGCAGAGTCAAATTTTCTTGGCAGAAGTTTCGCTTCTTATGTCAAAAGAATATTATTACATTATTATAAGAACATTGCAGATGAGTTTATTTGTTAGGCTACTCTTTGTCTGATAGGAGAGCTAAATTAGCCTTTCTCACGCCGCCATTTTTGGGTGGCTTTTCAGCCAAAGTTTGCAAGATAAGTCCACATAACTGCACATGACTTTTTATAATTTTTTTGGATGAATGATGGTAAATTTGCTTTGTAAATGGTTAGTTTATTTTGAAAAATTACTTTTCACATTGTTTTAATTGTCTGCATTGGTTAACGAGAATTAGATGCCACCCAAAAATGACGGATATTCGTCATCTCACGAAAGGCTAATTGAGAGAAGCTGTATCTTATAGGGCCTAAAAAATATCTGTGGTTCCGGTTCCCGACCAACCCTATTTTTTTTCTGCCGACCCTATTATTTTTTCAATGCGATTGACCATGCGACCCTATTTTCTCCAGGTGGTTGCGGGCTGCTGCCAAAATGGCATCTGTTGTCACACTAATTATTGAAAAAAAAAACATGAAAAAAATATTCAAAAAAAAATTATTTCCGACCTACCGACCCTAATTTTTTCGCGATATGAAACCAGAACCACAGGTATTTTTTTTAGACCTAGCGTAAATTTTTTCTTTGTACATATACGAAAGACTTACTACTTACTGTGATTAAACTGTATGACTTTTTTCCAATAAAATTGATTAAACCACATATTGACTTTGGCTGTTATATATATATTGAATAAAATAAGGTCAAAATAATTCTAGCTTATGCAGTATATTTTGGGAAATGCACCCCCCCCCCCCATACTTAGCCTTTTCAGGCTTTAAAATGATACACTATATAGGAAAAATTATTTAATTGGTCTCTTGAATTAATCAGGGTTTCTCAGGACATTTTATGGCCATTAAACGACCCCAAAACTCAATTTGAAAGTTCTGAAACTCAACGCATCTAAAGTTTTTAGTGCAGTAAAAAAATGAAGTTACCTAAATTGAATTTGTGACGTGGAAAATATGGTGTTTTTACAATACATACTGGATTCTTCCATATTAAACAAAAGTTAAAATGTGGAGCTTCTATGATGTCAAAATTGAAAATTCCTGAATAAACGTAACCCTGTTAATATAATATATAATTTCAATCTATATATAAATATTTTACATAATTTCTATGTAGTAATTTTGGTCATTTCTTCCGCTCCGTACAGCCTATCATCAAAACCTATTTTATTTTTTCTTCTCGCCTTACTCTCTGGTGTACCTATAAGTCCCTCGTTCACCCTACCAGACTCCGTTGCGCGGCACCAATGTCCATTTTTGTATGGACGACGCTTTGTGGAAGGCGAGCTCTGGTCAGTGGTGTTCACCACTGGGACTGAACGTAGAGGATGTATGGAGCTGAGTAACCAGTGAGTCCTCACCAGACCTTTGCCCTGGAATAAATGTTGATAATGGTGATGAACATGATGGTGGTGGTGATGATGATGGATGATAATGATGGATGATGATGGTGGTGGTGGTGGTGGTAGTGATGATGATGATGATGTGGGTGATGATGATGGTGGTGGTAGAAGTGATGATGATGGATGATGATGATGATGATTATGGATGATGACGGTAGATGGTGATGGATGATGATGGATAATGCTGATTGATGACGGATGATGATGACAATGGCAATGGTGGTGATGATGGATTTGGTTATAATATGGGTGATCAGCATTAATAATTTTGAACAAGCGACACCATCTACCAGACCTTCAACAAAGTCTCTCCGCGTTCAACAACGTTATATCCACCAAGAGTCATCAAGTTGGCTTGAAACTCGCTGCTTATGTGGACCTTTAAAGCTACAAAAGAATAATAGGTTGCATTAAACTTTTTATGCATATAATATCACAAATTTTTGAGCTCTCTTTCTGAAGCTAATTCTATATTTCTTTCAAATAAACAAATCAACGAGTACCTTCACCATTTGACTCCATGCGTGAAGCAGTGTTGACTGTATCTCCAAACAAACAGTATCTTGGCATCTTGTTGCCAACCACTCCTGCGCAAACGGGACCTGGAAACCACGTGTAACATGTCACAGCATATAGCTACTGAGCTACAAGATTATTCTAACAGGACGATGTCAAGCTGTGTACGATGTCAAGCTGTGTTTGCAGTGTTTCCAACTCTTGGACAAATTTGTTCCGACAACTTGTTGGCGTATATGCTTCAATTCAATATGTGAATGGTTCAAGTAGAAACGAAACATTATGCATAGCATACGGAAAATGACTTTTTTTACCATTTCATAACCAACATAATGTCAACTAATACATATGTTAAAAAAGTAATTTCCCGTATGCTCTGTATAACGTTTCGTTTTTACTTGAACCACTCACATATGTTGTTAACAAATTGTAAAGTGACAAACTTAAGCCCTGGGCAAACTAGGAAACATTGTTGTGGAAACATTTGTGATTCTCGATGTTTCCTCAAATGTTTCCCTACGTTTGCCCACCCGTGGAAACATTGTTGCGGAAACAAAATTTGCTTCCCGAGAAGCAAAAATGTTTCCTAGCAAATTCAGAAACAGTGATATTTTCCTATGTTTCTCACTAATGTTTCCTAGTGTTTGCCCACTCTGGGAAACATGGCGAAACATTGGTAGGAAACAATGTTTCCGCAACAATGTTTCCTAGTTTGCCCCAGGGCTTTAGTTTATACGCCATCACTCAAAATTTCAAATCTTCGCTAAAACTTACCACTGTGGAGCCCAATCCGTAGTTGAACTTTATAGTCTGCGAAATCTGGGACTTGATAAGTCTTCAATGAACTAAGCAAATGTAACGCAAAGTCAGCGATTTCTCCAGCGTGAAGGCGGCCATTCCGAATTGGGAGACCGGAGACAACCATATATGCATCACCGATAGTTTCGACCTGCGGGAATCGAAGAATAAGTGTTTTATATTTATCTACGTCCTACGAAAGCGGGATGGACAATAAGATTAAGAGGAACAATAATAAAAATGCGAACAACTGTTCACTTAGGGTACCTTGTAAACATCATAAGCACAAATAATCTCATCGAATAATGTGTACAGTATGTTCAAAAACTTCACAACCTTGAAAAAAAATATAATATAAGTTTTCCCAAAAACCAATAAATGGCATTTAGCAAAAAAATAACACTTGTTTAATCATCATGCACCAATTACCTGCAGTGGAGTGATTTGAGCAGAAAATTTTGTAAAACCAACAATATCACTGAAGAAAATAGATACTTCTTCAAAAGACTCTGCAGGAACGGGTTTTCCGTGTTTCAAATCACTGGCAACAGATCTGAAAAACAATCTTTACTTCAGTGGCTCGCAAAGACAAAGAGAAAGGATTTTATTTTTAATACGTCTTTTGCTTCGCCTCATATAGCATGACTCGTACTGGACCTCTATCAAGAACAGTTTAGAAATCTATCATTCAATCTAAATTTTAGATTGAATGATAGAGCTACCCAAGAAAAACAGAGACAGCTTATTTCAGCTGTCTTCCTGTAGTAACACTGTACCAATGAATGATGACTCTTACTGGACCTCTAAGGAGAACACTTTAAAAGAGACGACCTTTAGGGACGACCATAAGAGACGACCTTTACTGGACCTCCAGCGAGAACAGTTTAGAACTGATAAAGTTATCCAGTATAAATAAAGTTAGTTTAGTTTAGGTTTCCTCCTGTAGTATCACTGGATCAATAAGAGATGATCCTTACTGGACCTCTAGAGAGAACAGTTTAGAACTGATAGAGCTACCCAGTATAAATAATGTTAGTTTAGTTTAGGTTTCTTCCTGTAGTAACGCTGGATCAATAAGAGACGATCCTTACTGGACCTCTAGAGAGAACAGTTTAGAACTGATAGAGATATCCAGTATAAATAAAGTTAGTTTAGTTTAGGTTTCTTCCTGTAGTAACGCTGGATCAATAAGAGACGATCCTTACTGGACCTCTAGAGAGAACAGTTTAGAACTGATAGAGATATCCAGTATAAATAAAGTTAGTTTAGTTTAGGTTTCTTCCTGTAGTAACGCTGGATCAATAAGAGACGATCCTTACTGGACCTCTAGAGAGAACAGTTTAGAACTGATAGAGATATCCAGTATAAATAAAGTTAGTTTAGTTTAGGTTTCTTCCTGTAGTAACGCTGGATCAATAAGAGACGATCCTTACTGGACCTCTAGAGAGAACAGTTTAGAACTGATAGAGATATCCAGTATAAATAAAGTTAGTTTAGTTTAGGTTTCTTCCTGTAGTAACGCTGGATCAATAAGAGACGATCCTTACTGGACCTCTAGAGAGAACAGTTTAGAACTGATAGAGATATCCAGTATAAATAAAGTTAGTTTAGTTTAGGTTTCTTCCTGTAGTAACGCTGGATCAATAAGAGACGATCCTTACTGGACCTCTAGAGAGAACAGTTTAGAACTGATAGAGATATCCAGTATAAATAAAGTTAGTTTAGTTTAGGTTTCTTCCTGTAGTAACGCTGGATCAATAAGAGACGATCCTTACTGGACCTCTAGAGAGAACAGTTTAGAACTGATAGAGATATCCAGTATAAATAAAGTTAGTTTAGTTTAGGTTTCTTCCTGTAGTAACGCTGGATCAATAAGAGACGATCCTTACTGGACCTCTAGAGAGAACAGTTTAGAACTGATAGAGATATCCAGTATAAATAAAGTTAGTTTAATTTAGGTTTCTTCCTGTAGTAACACTGGATCAATAGGAGATTTTAGAACTGGTAGAATTATCCAGCATTATCCACGCAATTTTCACGCATCTAGAATATACTAACGGTGGCAACATTTGATGCAGTAGTTCATCTGTCTTCTTCTTTTCCTCAACAAGTTGAATTGTTCTTTCTTCAACTAAACTCTCCAAGTTATTGGCGTATTTTTCCAGCATGTTTACCATATTATCGATAATATTCGTCGTCCTGAAACATAAAGCGGAAAACGCGCGCGATAGCACAGGATTATTAGTTGTCTCAAGATCTCTCAGGAAAATAACCCTAGGGATAGTATTCACATTAGAGACGGACAAGTCGTCTAGACGAACAAATCGTCTCTCAAAAATCGTCTTCACAGACGGACAAGTAGTCGAACAAATTCAGACGACTTGTTCGTCTAAAATTTTGTTCGACACGTTTTCACATCTGATGATTTGTCCGACTAAAAGACGATTTTAAGACGATTTGTTCGTCTAGACGACTTGTCCGTCTTCTAATGTGAAAACGGCTAATAAAAAAGCTCTTACTTTCCAAACTTTAAACGACGGACAGTGTTATTGATTTCATAAAAAGTTGGTCTTCGTTCAGGGTCTTCATTCCAACAGTTCACCATCAAGTCTTTCAAAACTTCTAGTTTGGGAAGCGACTCTTTAACAATAGGACGGAACGCGGGCGGTCCAAGGCATATTATCTTTTTGACTAAATCTAAAAAGAAGAGAAACCAAATTCCTGGGTTTTATTCATTGATTTTTGAGGTTTCTTTCTGACGGTATAAAAGGTTACAGCTTAAGCCTGGTTCACATATATGCCTGCGACGTACCGGCGACGATACCGGTGGTAGCTTTAAAACGTAAATTATGTGAACATTTGTTCGCCGATTGCCTCCAGTGCCACAGTTACATCGGCGGTAGGCCGGGAAAGTTGACTTGAGTTCAACTTTGCCGGTATTTCGGCGGCAAGTAGAGGCATAATGATAGAATTGCAGGAATACCGCAGGCATATGTGAACCAGGCTTTAAGCTAAGTGCTGTAAATGTGATCGAAGCATACCCAATTTTATGAAATTGTCACCACTGGACATCCCAAACGAAATAGGGTGTAATATGGTAATTATAGGTAATGGAAAACGGCCATGTGTTTTGCAAAATTGAATTAACACGGGACGTCTGATTTTGTCTGTGGCAAAGAAATGTTAAGAATTTTGAGGTCGTTCGATATCGAAAAGAAGAAATGTCGCCATTCCAAAAGTATTAAAGGCTTATTGACCGAGCGTGAGGTCTGTACTGTGAAATATCAGACAGAGGTTTTTTAGCAAAAAACAGAGGTCTGATATTTCACAGTACAGACCGAACTAGCGAGGTCAATAATCGGTTTATTATATGGCTGAACTGAGTCTGCGAGCATATGCTTTTAGCGAGAATTAAATCGGCTATCGTCAGTTTCACTGGGTAACAATATACGGTAGGCATGCATGTTCGATCAAAAACAATTTGGTTGTTTGAAATTTTTATCTGTAAAGCACAATTGGGAATTTAAAAAGCAAAACTTTTTTCTGTTTGCAAAGCAAAAATTTCCCGCCAGATAAACGACATCCGGGACACCGGTCCAGATACGGAAAATACGGATCACGGTCCGGATATGGGTTTTTACGGACCGCTTGTCAACCAATCAGAATAGAGAATTTTGAAAAGCCATATAATATTTATTAGTAAACTATCGCCATGAAATTTGATACGGTCATGGACCGAGATCAGAGGTAGCAATATACTAGGTTTCGTGAGCGTAGGTGAAATACTCGCTGAAAAATAAAGACGTCTCGGCGCATGTGCATCGTGAGATATCACAAACTTTGCGGACTAAGGCTACGTTTGGACTGATTGCCCGGCACCGGTGCCCAATGTTCAAACTTGTTCCCAAAACATGTTGAGCGCAGTGCCGTTGTTGAGTAGTACCTCTAGAAGTAGTACCCTTTCTTGGGCACTGTGCCCAAATTCATTTGGAAGCATCATGTTCAAACTAGGCGCCAAAACAAGTGACTGGCACCCATAGATATAGGAGATCTAGATTGCTAACGCATACCTAGCGCAGGCGGGGCCTACATGATAAATCCAAGATGGCGGTACAAGAGGGCAAAAAGACTATAGATTCTATTACGAAAATCAAGATTTTTGCATTTTTTGCCGTCGCATTGTTTTGAAACTTATTCGGTCAAATTTTATGGTAAAGAGAAACTTACCGCGAAGATTTTGAGCATATATATGATTGAATTGGATGGAAACTCGCAAAATTATCCAGCGATAAAAGTTCGTGTATAGTACTGATATAGTACTATACAAGTAACTTGTACAGTTTTGCTTTAATTTTTGCTCACTATTTGCATAAAAAGCAAATTATAACAGACCATAGATAATAGA